TTTAATAAATCATTATTTGTTAAATATTTTAATTAACATAAGATTAACAAAAAGTATAAACAAAAGTGATCTTTTTAATAAAATTGGTTTACAAGTTATATTTAATATAAAATTAAATTTATGCTGTTTTAAGATGTAAGTACTCTTTAAAACTTCACCAAAATTAAACCTCGTCTGGAATAGCAGCCTTTCAGGCGGGGCTCGTGACCTGTAAAGAGGCAGATATTCAGAGCAGTGCTGCAGGGAGTAGGTATCAACAGTAAAAAAAAAACAAACTGCGTTTTTATAAATATATAAATATGTTGTGTTATCTCACCAATTGTTGATGCCTTCGCTCTGCAGCACTTTACAGGTCACGATCCGCGCATACAGCCATTTAAAAATTTTCTTTTAAATAAACTATCATGGCTGGTTTTTCATTCTAAACCGGACTTTTCATGTATCCCAAAAGAAAAAGTCATAACGAGTTAAGTAAGAACTCCTGGAACGAGATGGCCTACGTGATACATGCGAGTTTTAACAAATTTGATGTTTACTTTGGTTTGCAATCTTGCACATCTTTATGATGTTATTTGTATGAACATTTTTTACAAATTTTTACTTCAATATAAGTATGATTTATAGTTTTCTTTGTTATAACCCGGAGGGCATCCATGATTTCAGGAACCATATTATGATTTCTCCGTAAATAAATACGGGCTCATCTCATGATTTCTTATTATGCCTCATGAGTTTCTCATAAGGTGTGCCATGTGGTTAATAATCGTTTGGCAGCAACTCGTGAAGTTAAAAAAAGTTATGGAAAACCTCGTTTTTTATAAAAAAAGGAATTGCAGAGAAAGTTTTCCTAGTTTGATTGATCGGAGGCCCAAGACGGCAAAACAAAATAGTCTGCTTACTCAGTTTTTCTATAAGATATTTTTTTCTTTGGAACTTGGGCACTCCAAGCCCCTAAAGATAATCAGAGACATAAAATTTTATTACAAGGGTTTTTCTAGCAAACTTGTTATATAGATATTTACTTTTTTAAATTATGGGGTCCCCTTATTATAATTATTATTATTATAGCTATAATAGCTTTTCTAACAGTAAATATTGCCAGGGTAGGATAAGTGAATCACCATAGGTGACTCAGCCGAAAACCATATCGATGAAAGCCCTTAACCTCTACCTACCCAAGACCGTCAGTACGTGTCAAAGACACACCCTGAAAGAGCTGCTTAATGCAAAAGGGTGTGGATCTAGTGAACTCAACCCCGAACAAAAATGCCCAAATCTACTAGTGTTACGCAACCCATGAAGGATGGGCACCCCCTTGCAGTAAGGAGCCTGGCCAAAGCAAAGGTGTAAGGCAACGTGCTGAGGACTGGATGGCCGCAGGGCGTAACATGGGGTCATTGACGTTCATTGACGTTCTCCATTGTATTTAGCCTTACTCACGGCTGTGTGTGGGCGAAACTTTAGTTCCGGACTACTTGCAAGGAGGGACCTTAAAGCCAGACTCCCAATTTAAATGGAGACTGACGTGTCGGGCTTCTTGAAAAAGGGGACCTCACAAGGCTCCACAAAAGAGCTTTTAGGACTCGTAAGAGTAACGGAAGCAGATTAGCAAAGCCTAGGTACTGCAGCACACTGGGCCTACTGCTGATTGTCGGGTGCAATGCCAACGCAATCCATGTGGTGTGGGGTCTCTTGGAGTATCTACACACTACGGATATAGAAATCCTGAACCGCGGCACTACACCGACCTTCGTCAGGTCACGAAGACAGAAGGTGATATACTTGAGATTGGGCTCCCTCTACATGACCCCGATGACAAAAAACTGGGAAGTGTCTGAAGAGCTATCCCTGGATCACAGGCACATTTCGTTTAGCTTAGACCTAACTCACGGGGCTGGGCTCAGTAGGTTCAGTAACCCCCGGAACATATATTGGGAACAGTATGTTGAAATGCTGAGGACTAACCTGGAGGAGTCCTGCCAGGTCCTGTTAATAAAAATGCGGGACAATTTGAGTGAATTATCTCATACGAACGAAGCTGCCAAATTTTGGTCTATCGAAGAAAAAAGAAAACCCCTTGGTGGAATTCTGACCTCCACAAGGCTTGCAAGGAAAGACAGGCTCTTTAATAGGGCCATGCGGTCTAAATTATCTGCTGATTAGGATAGCCACAAGCAGTCTCAGCGTAGGAACAAAGATTTTATAAGAAGGTCTACGAGAGAATCTCTGGTCCTGCGATAACGTAGACGAGGTTCCAGCAGCAGCCAAACTTTAAGATTCTCTCAAAGGATCTAGAACAAAAGCTGGGGTCACTAAGGCTTTCGCCCGGTGACTATAGCACCAACGCACAGGAGTCACTTGAAAGGAACCTGGAAATCCACTTTCCAGGGTCAGAAATCCTGCAAACTGTCGATACACCAGCTGGCGTAATACCAGCTGACTGGAAGATAGCTGCAAAGGTAGTGACAGATAACTCCATAAAGTGGGCTATCCACGTATTTGAATCTTTTAAAAACGCGGGACCAGACGGCATCTTTCCGGCTCTCTTACAAAAGGGGCTAGAACCACTGACCCCGTACTTAATACACCTCTTTAGAGACTGCCTTGCGCGGGGCTACGTACCACAATCTAGGCGAAAGGTTCTAGTGGTGTTCATCTCCATACCAGGATGTTGTGACTAGGAGACGGCAAAGGATTATAGACCCATCAGTCTATCTTTGTCTATCCTTTTTAAAACCATGAAGCCGGAGAGGGTATTGGCATAGAGAATACCATTGTCAAATGGATCCGTATCATACTTGAAAGCCGGACCATTACAAGCTCGATGGGAAGTACGGAGATCAGCTTAACCGTAGCCAGAGGCTGCTCATAGGGAGGTGTACTATCGCCCTTGCTGTGGTGCCTAATGTCATCATCGAGTTCAGGATGACCTAGAAGGATTATGTTACCAGGGTCGTCAAAAGCGCCGCAGAAGGACCATTGGATGCACCTGGGGCTTAGAACCCCATTTATTACACTGGCCTTATACAACAGTAATAAGGCCAATGATCATATACGACAGTCTAGTATGGTGGAACGCGCTAAGCAAATAAGCTTTAACAACTTAATTGAAGCATCTAGATTCTAGAACCACTTCAACACTAACATTGAAGACTATACTGGGACTAACGCATCTACATCATTTTGAGGAGGCACGGGCTCGGAAGGTGGCGTCAGACTTAATGATCGGGGACAATGGGCTCTCAGAGGAGAAAACTCTGGGCGTGCAAAGGCCTGGACTATATCAGGACTCTCTCAACCAGGACACCCTTCTCACTAGAAGGGATGCAATGCTAAGGACGTCAACCCCCCGCAGCAGATATAGTCGTTTTCCTTTCAGAGAACCGACTGTAGTGAGCCTGACCCAGGCTTCCTCAAACCGAAGGGGCTCATCTGGTACACGGACGGGTCTCTAATGGATAAAGGTTCAGGAGCTGGTATATATGGAGATCAACCTAGGGCGAAAATAAGGCTTGCACTAGGTTGATACTTAACGGTATACCAGACTGAGATCTATGTCATTCTGATCTGCGCCCAAGAAAATCTTCAGAGAGGTTACTTGGGTAAACATATTTACATATGTAGCGACAGTCAAGCAGCACTCCGGGCCCTTTCCTCAGAAAGGGTCAACTCGAGACTTACGCTGGACTGCATGAAAACCCTAGAATTACTTAGTGTGTTCAAAAAGGTCACTGTTGTCTGGGTATCGGGTCATTGAGGTATCAAATAGCATATAGTCTGCTTTAGTCAATAGCAGACTAACCCACCTCGGTGACAGGAACCGGAGGAAATAAAGCATGCTCGGCCAGAAAAGGTCTGCACGTTCATGGACAGGACTGCAAATGCCGTCGGGCCCAATATGACACGACGGCTATAGCAGTCGCAATATTCTAGCAAAAAAGGTGTATAAATTATTCAAGTGACACAGCAGGTCCCGCCAAAAATTTGTCTGTGTCCATCAACGTGTTAAAAGCTTTGGGCTCCTAAGGTAAGGCAGGGCTTCACCAAAGGGGGTTTGCACAATGGCCGTATGCCTACGTGCTGACTGCAAAGCTTATCTTTTAAATCAGTCAAAATAAGAAAGATCCATATAAATGTAAAAACAATAGCCATCTCATCATTATAGTTGATTTGGGCGGAATGCATTGCTGTCTTGAAGGTGTATGATAATAATAAACAATGTCCTAGAACTAGTATGGGTTAAAGGACATAATAGTAATAAAGGAAATAAAAAGGCTTATTAAATTGAAAGATAGGGATTGGCATAGCTGCCAGTGGGGCCTGAACCTGTCCTTCCTCTAAAAAAATCTAAAAAGGCAAAATAAAATATAGCTTATTTTCTAATTTTCTCTTTTATTAAGCTACTTGTAGTTGTTATTTATCATCATGGTTCACGGAGAATCGGGCATGTATGCCATATCAATACAAGCCTTATTATATTAATTATTGGTTTGTTCTGATGGCACCAAATCGGGCATGTATGCCATATCAATACAAGCCTTATTATATTAATTATTGGTTTGTTCTGATGGCACCAAACTTAAATGGGTAAGTTATAAATTGAATTTAACAATATTTATACAATTTAATATACAGGGGGCACCAAGTATCCTTCTAGTTTATTATAATTTTAGTATTTACCAAGACAGGATGCTTAAATACAGTTAAGTTTATAATATACACTGTATACTAAACCATCTAACGGGGGAGTATTAGATAGTAATAATTATTAAATTTATAAAATAATATTTTTTCATTCGTATGTAAACCCTTATTAAACAATTATATAGAGCGTGGGTAATAAAAAAATAATAACAAAATTTTTAATAAAAATATAATAAATTATCACAATAGGGGCCACGGGTGGCCCAGTGGGTTAGGCGACTATGCCGAGACAAACTGCGTCCGTAGGTATCGGGTTCGATCCCCGGTCACAGCCTTGGGTGTTGTGCGCGTTGAAAGTCGGTAGATGAGTCTAACTCATCAAGGACCGTGGTTCGGATTCCACGTTAAACAGTAGGTCCCGCTGAAGAACCGAACCTAATAGGCTTTGCCTGTAAGCTGGATAGGTTGATGGCGTTACTACTCTACTTTTTTATCACAATATTGTTTAAAACCTTTTAATACAGTTATGTGCCACAAAAAAAAATATTCGAGCATATTTCTCTACCGTATGTAAAAAACCAGATTAAATCATAAAAAATCGATTTACACTAAAGATGCTTTCCTAAAAAGTTTTGTTTTAGTCTTATCTAGTTTTTTCAAATGAAGATTTATAGGGACAAATCCTCATTTAAGATACTATCCATTAAAATGTTAAACTCATTTTTATCTTCCTTTTTATTATGTGCAGAATTTGGATTTGTAAAAGCTTCCAAAAATTGTTTTGGCGACACCGATTGGTAGTAAACGTTTAATTTAGCAGAATCAGAAAACATACTTAAGAAAGTATCATCTATTTCATAGTCAACGGGCAATCCATTATTATCAATTATAACATTTCCATAATTTTGTGCACTTGATATTGATGTATTTTCTACATTAAATTCAAATTTGTACTTGTTCAATATATTCACCAACTCTTTACTAAGTTTTAAAGATCTTTGTTTTTCTAAATCTACACTACTATTTAAACCTTCTACCAAAACTGGTAAACAGCCAATAGAACTAAGACTATCCATAATCTTCCTTAGCCTATTTCGTATCTCCTTCTGGTCTAAAACAACTATTTTCTTTAGTTTTTTGGAAAATGTCACTTCGGGAAAATCATTATCAATCATTCCTTCTTCGTGAAATAGTTTTTTGATGACGCGTTCCCAAAAATTCAACACGTTTACTTTTAACCTGGTATCGTTATCAAATATACCCATATGTGCCATCGTATTGTAGATGGTCGATATCTCTTCTTCAGAAAAATATTCTTCTTCGAAAATAACTGTTATTAAATATACCATTTCAGATCTCAGTTTGTCAACAGGTTCCGTTTTTAAAAGGTGGATTAAATTGTCCTGAAAAATATATATTACTTTTTATTAAAAATTTAACAGAATAAGTAAGTACTTAATTTTATCTTAAATGGGACCAATGTTAGACTGATTTCGATTTGCAAATTTTCAAATTTTATATACGGTAACAAAACATTTTCCAATTAAAAATTAAGAAAAAACAATCTTTAAGGAATTCTAGAGGGGGGTACTTTTGAATTTTTTGTTTGCCATTGCAAGGATTTATCAAAATTAAAATTACCAAACTTCTATAAAAGCGGGAGTTAACATTTTCTTATCATTGTAAAAAGCAATAAATTCAGCCCCAGAAAAAAATATTTTTCTCTTATTTTGGCTTTTAAAATTGCGGAATAAAGGCCAAAGCATAAAAACAAATTTAAATAAGTACCTATATAATTTTATTATATTTATATTAACGTTTAATACTCTTATATTGTAGTAATTTATTCTTATAAAAAATATTAACGGGAATCAAATAATTAAAAGTGATAGAGTTGTAAATGTGGATATTATATATATTAAGTCCTCAATAACCTGATTCATAGGGTAAACACAACCAGCGAGCAGATCATCTAAAAGGGGAACTGTACCATCTCACGGAAAATCAATGGATACAAGGAAGCGGGTATAAAAAGAATTTTCCGGAGAAAGCGAAAGGAAAACCGATACCAGGAAACTCCAGTTGCTACAATTTTTCTATCTTACATAGAGGGTTGTACCGATAAAATAGCGAGAATCATTAGACTCAACAACATTAAGGTTGTATTCAACGCCTTAAATAAAATTGGCAACTACTTTCGAAACCGATTGGATGGCCCAGGTGTTTATCATATCCCAAGCTCCTGCAGTGGACGAAACATCAGTACCATGATAGGGGATCGGCGGTTGCAGAACACTTCCTGGAAAATCCCGGGCATTCCATAAAGTTTGACCAAACAACAGTCTTATCTAGGCCAAGACTATAAAGAGAATCTATAGAGATTTGACCCCCGTTTGGAAGAACATGTTCTGCAACACTGGTACGGCACGAACTAGTGGACCAGAAACCACGGGTGAGCTCACAACAACTGGGGCCTGAAATCACCCACCGGAAAGTATCAACCAGCGGACCGAAAAACACCTATAGGTATACCTATATATAACAGAACAATAATCTTAGTTTTCTAAAGAAGACAGCAACATGGCTGTCGAAACGTAAAACCTACTACGAGACGCGGCTTAAAACCCGATAACATTTTTACTTGTAAATGACTGCGAAGCATAATCAAATGATATACTTTTTTATTACTATTTACTAGATGACAACATCCTTAAATGGTTCATTAAATATTTTTTTCTTAAATTGTTAAAAAGTGTGCCATATGCATAATTTAAGTCAAATCGGAGATATGGTCCAACATTGGTCCAATTTAAGAAATAACTTCCCTAAACCTTAAAATAAACAATTAATAAGCACTTAAACTTTCTGATTGTTGTTAAAATAAAGTCATAATTTGGGTATTTCAAGAACCATCAGAAAGATATTGTTTATTTTTAGTTTAGGGTAGTTCTAAAATAATAATTTTTTGTTACAAATTAAATTGTCTTTTAAAAATGTAAAAATATACAGGGCGTCATATTAAAAAAAAATGTTATTTTAGTCAATATTTCGAAAACCTGACGTTCAGTTGTTTTTCTGTTTTTACTATTTCAGAAATTTGCTGAATTAACCGAATTTGTGGTAAGCAGGTAACTTTGGACACGTTGCAACGTGTCCAAAGTTACCTGCTTAATCCTATATACGCGTTGTATATAGGATTAAAAATACCATTATATATATATATATATATATATACATATATATATATATATATATATATATATATATATATATATATATATATATATATATATATATATATATATATATATATAATATATACTCCCCGGCACAAAATTCCGCCACCCTAAAATTTTGTCCAAGTTTGATGTTTTATAACTTTTTTATTTTTCATCCGATCTTCATGATTTTTTTACTAGTTTGAAGATCAATTTATTGTTATTGTTTTTTATCATTTTAATAACTTAAAATTTTTGTTTCGGCCATATTTTACAGGGGTAAATCAAAATGTTGTTTTTTGTAATAACTTTATAATACCCTGTGAGAAAATTGAGGCGGTTAATTTTTTTACAAACTGTTTGATTTAATCTTAGATGTATTCCAAACATTTTGTTTTTTGATTCATCCCATTATTTCATTTATTGTACGACCTGCAAGTTTTTCAATGAAACGCCGATTTGAACGTTATTTGTTATTGAAAAAAAATTAACACTTTATAATAAAATTAAATAACAAATACATTTTAAAAGGGCGTATTTTCACCTCTCGCAGTAATGACAGCTTGCAATCTTCTTGGCATTGAATGAATAAGGTTACTTATTTTTTCTTGAGGAATACCCAGATATTCTTCTCTTAGCGCCAGCCGTAACTCTTGCAAAGATTGTGGTTGTAATGGGCGACGTCGAACAGCCTTTTTAAGTTTATCCCACAAATGTTCGATAGGGTTGAGATCCGGGCTACATGCTGGCCATTCCATTCGCTCACTACCCGTGCAACGTGAGGTCTAGCATTATCATGCATTAATATAAATTCGTTCCCAATGAAAGGAGCAAATGGAACGACAACTTCTTGAAGAATATCCTCAATGTAACGGTGGGCGGTTAGAGTTGCATTATCAACAAATATAAGATCGGTACGTGCTTCGCTAGAAATACCCGCCCAAACCATCACTGAACCGCCATAATATGATATTCGCTCTGATATGGTGCAGTCGGCAAATCTTTCATTTTTGCGTCTATATACCCGCTCACGACCATCCGGCGACCTTAAACAAACCCTGGATTCATCTGTGAATAGTACGTTTCCCCACTGTTCTACGGTCCAGTCAGAATGGGTTCTTGCAAATCTCTGTCGCTGTTGTCGATGACGAGAAAGTAATTGTGGACATATTGCTGGCCTCCGTGCAAATTATTTTTTAGAGATACAGCAGTAGATCGTCGATCTCTTAAAGAACTAACAACAAGGAAGTGATCATCAGCTGCAGTAGTTAATCTACTTCTTCCAGAGCCTTGTCGCCTAGAAAAGTTTCCAGTCTGTATATTCCAAGCATCTCGAACTGTAGACCGCGGAATTCCCAAAGTACGAGCGACATAACTTTTACTTCGGCCATCCTCTATTAAGGCAACAATTCGACCCAAATCTGCTGTAGTTAATACCATGATGACAACTCAAATTAATAATGTAACTGTCAAACATTCTATCACAACAATTGCCCTCTTCGATTATTTTTAACCGATATCTGGACGAATACAGTAAAATTTTTAGCGTTTCATTGAAAAACTTGCAGCTCGTACAAGAAACAAAATAATGGAATGAATCAAAAAACAAAATATTTGTAATACATCTAAGATTACATCAAACAGTTTGTAAAAAAAATTAACGGCCTCAATTTTCCCACAGGGTGTTTTAAAATTATGACAAAAAACAACATTTTGATTAACCCTGTATAATATCGCCTAAACAAAAATTGTTAGTTATTAAAATGATAAAAAAACAATAATAATAAATGTGTCTACAAACTGGTAGAAAAATAATGAAAATCAGATAAAAAATAAAAAAGTTATAAAACATCAAACTTGGCCAAAATTTTAGGGTGGCGGAATTTTGTGCCGGGGAGTGTATATTATATATTATATATGTACATATATACAGGGTGTCCGGGAAAATGTGGGAAATCTCTCGGATTCAGATAGAACATGAAAAAATAAGATGACACGTTCCTATAATTTTTTTTCGTACTGGCCATCCTTACGGAGACATGGGCCCTGAAAGGACTCCCCTGCAAATTGGTTTTCCTTGAATTACTTTTAAAGTACTAAATATAATTTAATAAAAATTTAATATGATGGACCCTGGTAAGGACCTCTTAAAATAGTGTCATTAAAACATGTTTTGCTTTTTTTGTTTACCAGGGGCGGACTAAGTTTTACATTTTAATGCTTAAATTTATGACAAAGACTTAAAAAAACTAAATCTGCATAGCTTGAACCTTAAACTAAAATAAAGGTACTCTTGTTTATTGTTAATAAAATGAACCGTTTTCGAGAAAAAGAATAATAAACAAATTCATGTTTTATTTTTTAATAAAATGGATCATAAAAAAATAATATAACGTATTGTTGCAAACCTTAAATTGAAGGATGATAATTCGAAACAATTAATTAAAAACTTTATAAGAGGGTTCAACATGGGTTCCGTGAACTCTGATACATTCGCGGGCACGACGAATTGAGGCCTGCTGTACCCGCCAGAATAACCCAGAATTGTTTCTTATCATATCACAATAAAACGTAATTATCTGTAGAAGTTCCTCCCTAGTATCTATCGGAGTGGAATAAACCAAGTTTTTTTAGGTATCCCCACAGGAAAAAATCCATCACCCTAAGGTCGGAAAATCGAGGAGGCCAGTCAATAGGTCCTCCTCTACCCGCACAGCAACGCTGAAATAAGGTGGTGCCCCATCGTGCAAGAAGTACATGTTTAGGCGGGTTTCAAGTGGTAAGGGCTCTATTAAATCCCGAAAAGCGTTTTGGAGAAACTCCAAAAAAGTTGTCCATTCAATCGTGCCAGCAATACGAATCGTCCAATCAAAATATTGCCAATGATTCCTGCCCACGTATTAATTGGTTGGAACTGATGTTGAAAATGCGAAACAATAGTGGCATGAGGATTTTTATCAGCCCATACATGTGTGTTACCTTTTTTGATAAATCCTGCTTCATCCGTGAAAAGAAAACTTTTTTTACAAACGTAGGTACCTAAAATTATGAAGGAAGTCAATAATATTACTTTAATAAATGAAATTGTTCACCATTCTCTTCTTATTATTCGAAATCAGAAAACATTTTAACGAATTGACCAACGTCTTAGAGAGAATGGTGGACAATTTCAGTTATTAAAGTAA